AGGTTGGTTTTAATTATGTTAAAGTAGTGGCGTTTGACACTACTGGACCACGGATAAATGTCGGATGCCGTGGACAAGGTTGTGCATAGTCGGAGACTAATGTCATTAGCTATTATCTGTTATTGAATGATGCAAGTCTTCAATTTTAACAATTTAGCAATAATAGTAATCAAAATTAAAAATTTACTCTGCATTCATTTACTCAATAAAAATTATACAAAAATATGCAATTGCATTCAGTGTAAATATTACTTGAGTGTGGGGATGTGGACATTACTCATGGACCACAGTAGAATATTGGGTGCTGCGGACAGGGTTGTGCGTGCGTTGGGGCACTTCCTACTTGCTTGCTTGTTTGGAGCGTGGTTGGGCACTTCCTACTTGCTTGCTTGTTTGGACCGCGGTTAAATATTGGTTGCCATGGACAGGGTCGTGCGAGTGGTTGGGGCACTGCTCATTAGGCATCTTGCCTGGACCATGGATAAATTTGGGTGCTGTGGACAAGGTTGTGCGTGGTCGGGGCACTTCCTAATCGGTAGCCGCGGACAGGGTTGTGCGGTGGGTGGGGCACTTCCCCTTGCTTGCTTGATTGCTTGCTTGTGTGGAACGCGGGCCTGGGGCACTCCCCCAGTAATGGACCATGGTTAAAAATGTAAAAAATGTAGGATGCCATGGACAGGGTTGTGCGTGGTTGGGGCACTGCCCACTTGCTTGTTTGTGCGTGGTTGGGACACTGCCCACTTTTTGCGTTGTTAGTTCAGTTGTGATGAGTCTAAGAAGAATAGGTTGGTTTTAATTATGTTAAAGTAGTGTCTATTATTAATATCGATTGCGTTCCTTTTGGCATATATTCGTTGGCCTCCTTCTATTTTCCATATATATTTTATATTTTTTCTCCAAACATGTGCTTGTGTATATATATAATATATTAATTATAAAAAGAGTTTTAATAAAAAAGATGGGCGACATTTATTGCCCATATTACTAGTTACCCTATAATTGGCAAGGTGTGTTTTTATTAATTGAAATTAAGTTTACGAGTGTATGTATTTGTGTAAAGTGAAAAATGACCCAAATAGCCCATGCAAATAAAAGTTATAATTTCGTGTGTTTGCTTGTATATAAAGTGTATTTAATAAAAAAAAGATGATTACACATCTTTATAAATTATCTATCCTGTGAACTGGTAATAATTGTTGACAATTTCGTCCAGGCCTTCAGCCTTAATATAACTACCAATTTAACCTGATAGTGTTTATACAATCCTCCTATGCTTATCTTTGTATGAGAAATACCAATGCCGATGTTCTTCCTTTTCATTATAGTATGCCATTGTCATTAACCTCATTTCATCATTGGATTTTTGTACTGTAGAATTTAATCTTAAAATAGTTTGGGTGTCTTGGTTAATTTTAGCTTCTGCAGTATTTGCTCGATTTTTTTCAAAGTTTGAAATTCCTTGGAGTCTAGTTACAGCATTTCTTATATCAGTAATTTCTCTATCAATAATTGATCTAGGTATGGCTGGTGTTCTTTGAAGTATACTATTGATATTGATGAATGCATTTCAAATTGTTTTGCCTAGAGTACACAATGTCATTCTGGGGGTTTTGAGACAAAACCTGCCATGGTGCAATTCGTGTGCCTAGCCGCTCTGGAAGCCAAAAGAGATATCAGTTTTTTCAAAAGCGGCGAAATTTCTTTTTTAGGCCGCATTTTTTGGTTAGATTTTGCTCCTAAGCGGCCAATTTTTAATTTTTGGCCACCTTCGAGAGCGGCCATTTTTCATTTTTAGGCCGCATTTTTGTTCGATTTTTTATTTGCATATCAGAAAACGCCTATAGAGGCTATAGCTTTCTTAATTATCTAACTACCTTTTTAGCCGTTTTTATCGCTCCCAAAGCTTTTTAAGCTATGCAAACTAAAAAATCTAACCAAAATGCGGCCATTTTTTATTTTTAGGCCACATTTTTGTCCTAAAAAATCTAACGAAAAAAAAAATCTAACCAAAAAATCTAACGAAATTTTATGAAATCATTTTTTAGCCGCTTTTTTATCCTAAAAAATCTAACGAAATTTATTTCGTTTATCAGGAACATGCTCTGAGCCGTTTTTATCCGTTTTTTTCCAAGGACAATTTTTTCAGGAAAATGCTTAAAAAATCTAACCAAAAATATAACGAAATTTTATAAAATTATTTTTTTGGCCGCTTTTTAAACCAAAATCTAACCAAAAAATCTAACGAAAATTATTTATTAGTGCGTAATCTATGATAGTATTGAGCAACGTAAAACCCTCGGATATGTAAACGGCATCGACCAGATTTAGAAACTGTGGGTTTACTGCACTCAGAGCATGGAAGACGGGGGTTTTTTTTATTGTGAAGCCGACATCCTTCAGGATGCATGCAGGCATTATTGCATATAGCTCCAGAATTAAGAAGGTAGGGGCAAGAATATTCTCTGATCATTTTTTTTACATATAGAATTATTTATTTAAAGTAAAAACTTTTTAATATATAAGTAAAATAAAACGAAACAGTTAGACCAACATGATAAAAAAGAATAGAACTTGTGAGCACTGTGGCTATACATGTGCAACACCTCAAAAGCTTCGTGAGCATCTCAAAAGAAAACCATGCAGACCTAAAAATTTCGTGCAAGCCCCTATGGCTGAACCCGATATTGACGAAGAATTTCAACGTCTAAGTAATATTACAGAAGAAAATGGAGAGAATATAATATTTCGAGAACAACAGTTAGGCCC